CCCCCCCCCCGTAGCTCAGCCATGCCCGCCGACACGGGCATGGAGAAACCCACCGCCTCGCCCATCGCCGGCGCGCCCGCCAGCGCCAGCCACACGCCGGACAAGCCGCGGAGCGCCAGCGAGCACCGGAAGGTAAATGGAGGAGGAGGAGGAGGAGGGTGCCGGCCGGGGCGCAGCAGCGGCGGAGCTGGATGGCGGCAAGCCCGCGGCCGTGCCGAGGTCGGTGATGGTCGGGGAGGGTGCGGCGCGGGGTCCCGGGGCCGCGCGGGGCGCGCTGACCGGCTCCGCTCTGCCCGCAGTCCTCCAAGCCCATCATGGAGAAGCGGCGCCGGGCGCGGATCAACGAGAGCCTGGGGCAGCTCAAGACGCTCATCCTGGACGCGCTCAAAAAGGACGTAAGTGGGGCTGCGGGGACACCGGGGGGACACCGGGGGCACAGCGGGGCACGCCCGGCCGCGGGCAGCCCTGAGCGAGCCGCTCTCGCCCCGCAGAGCTCGCGGCATTCCAAGCTGGAGAAGGCGGACATCCTGGAGATGACCGTGAAGCACCTGCGGAACCTGCAGCGGGCGCAGATGACCGGTGAGTGCCAGCCCCGGGGGCACACCGGGCACGGGGCACCGGGCATCGGGATCGGGGTCTGCACCGGGAGCTGAGGATAAGGGATTGGGGATGGGGACCGGGATCCGCACCGAGAGCGGGGACGGAAGGCCGGGCACCGGGAACCGGGCTCTGCACCGGTGACTGAGGGCGAGGAAATGGAGCTGGAGACAGGACGGGGCTCCTTGCAGGGAACCGGACCCGGGGCTGGTACCGGGGACCGGGGTTAGGGACAGGGGAGCAGGAACCGGGGTTAGGGACAGGAGCCCGGGAACCGGGCTGCACACCGGGGATTGGGGACAGGGGACCGGGATTGGGGACAGGGGAGCGGGAACCGGGCTCCAGACCCTGGGGTTAGGGGCAGAAGACTGGGAACCGGGCTGCACACCGGGACTGGGGACAGGGGACCGGGAACCAGGTTGCACAGCCGGGATTGGGGACAGGGGACCGGGATTGGGGACAGGGGACCGGGATTAGGGATAGGGGAGCGGGAACCGGGCTGCACGCCGGTGTTAGGGACAGGGCACCGGGCTCTGGGGACAGGATACCGGGGCCGGTGCTCCGAACCTGCCGCTGACCTGCCGCCCCCTCCTCCTCCCTGCCTCTAGCCGCGCTCAGCGCCGACCCCACGGTCCTCGGCAAGTACCGGGCCGGCTTCAACGAGTGCATGAACGAGGTGACCCGGTTCCTGTCCACCTGCGAAGGGGTCAACGCCGACGTGCGCACGCGGCTGCTGAGCCACCTCTCGGCGTGCCTGGGCCAGATCGTGGCCATGAACTACCCCCCTCCTCCTCCTCCTCCTCCCCCGCCGCCCGCCCAGCCCGCACATCTGGCACAGCAGCACGTCCAGCTGCCGCCGGCCGCGGCCGTGCCCTGCAAGCTGAACCCCGCCGAGGCGCTGCCCCCCAAGGTTTACGGGGGTTTCCAGCTCGTCCCGGCCACCGACGGCCAGTTCGCCTTCCTCATCCCCAACCCGGCTTTCCCGCCCAGCTCCGGACCGGTTATTCCTCTCTATGCCAACGCCAACGTGCCGGTGGCGGCGGGCGGCGGCTCGGGGAGCGCGGCCGCCACCCCCTCGGCGTCGCCGGTGCAAGGCTTGACATCATTTGGGGGCAGCATCGGGCCGGCGTCGCAGGCCGGGAGTCCCGTGGGAGAGCGCAGCGAATCCGTCTGGAGACCCTGGTGACTTGCTCCGAGTCATCCCCCCTCCCTCCAAAAAGAACACAAAAATACCAAGAGACTCTCGTCGGCTCCGTTGTATGGAGCCCCTGTTATGTTTTGGGGTTTTTTTTTTAAAAGCAGATTTAAAGCGGAAAGGAAGAGAAGGACCTCGCTATGAACGTGCTATTTATTATTTTCAGAGGTTGGGATCTCGACTTGTATTTTTACTCCTTTCAAATGCCTTTATTTGAGATACTTTTTTTTTTTTTTTAAAGAAACGAACAAAAGAAAAAATAAATGAGAAATAGTTTTGTAACGAATATTCCAAAAGTTATAATGCCAAAGTTGTTTGTATCCCGTTGGTCTGTGGGTGTGTGCGTGCCTGTGTCGAAGACTTCCAAAAACGAAAAGAGAAAAAAAAATGCAGGTGTTTCAATAAAGGAACTCTTTGAAATAGATTTTTTTCCCCCACCCTTTCATTTTGTTTGAGAGTGGGCAAGGACGAGCTCATCTGTGTGCAAAAAAAAAAAATAGGACTGGACTTTATGACTTTATTTAAAGAAATTGGAAGGGATTTGGGTAAGAAATTGTGGGGAAAAGTGATGGGGCTGAGGAGGGGGGGTTAAATATCCCCTGAGTTTTGCAGCCAGAGGAAGAATTCCTAAAAAAACCCTGCTGCAAACACCTAGCTGCTCCCAAAACCCCAAACCCGGCTGCTGGGGGGGGTGGGCTGCACAGAAGTTACTCCGGGCCCACAAAAGCGGCGAGAGAGTCCGTCCCTATTGTCGGGAGGGTAATTAGGAGGTAGAAAGGGTCTCATCGAGTATGCAGCGGGCTCTTTGGGAAGTTGGGAGCCCTATTGAAGCGCCTGGGAACTCGGAGCCGAGGGTTAATGTGTGTCTTTTTTTTTTTTTTTCTTTTTTTTCCTTCCTCCCCGGCTCTCTCATTGACAGGGCCAGATAGACTCTGATACTCAATGCTGTTGTAAATTCAATTGCCCGGCCTCACAATGCCCACCTCATAAAAGAGAATAACTCGGGGTTGTGGCTTTTTCTTTGCCGCTGAGCGGGGAGGGGGGTGGAACTGAGGAAAAGACAGTTTTGCCACCCATTCTGCCTCACCCCCGGCACTTGAATCGTGGCCAAGTGGAAGCAATTGCAGCCTCTCGCACGCGGAGCATGAGCCACTTCCAATTGTCACCAATTAAAAAGGGCCGCGCTGCGGAGAAAAGACCATTAGCGGGGAATGCTCGGGGTGCGGGGCGAAGCTTTGTGCTCCCTGCCCCGAATGTGTGAGGTGCGGCTGCCCCGGAACCCGCAGCAGAAACCGGGAGAGGAGGAGGGAGTGCCAGAGGCAGCGCCCGGGGGTCTGCGGGGTCCCGGCTGCCCCGACCCCCCCGGCCGGGATGGTCCTGCTGGGTGGGCGGGGGGTGAGCCAGGCAACGAGCTGATGGTTCTGATGTTTGCACAGCACCCAACGACACAAAACAGGCTTTTTTATTATTATTTTATATATATATATATATTTTTTTTTTTTAGAAGAGAAATGCAATTCCATCCTTTTCAAGGTCTGCTCCCATTAAGGCTGCAGCTCCTGTGAGAGCAGAGCCTGTGGCTGGGGGTATAAAAAGCAGATTATCGGCTCCTGGAGGCTTTTTACAGCTTCCTGATGGCTCAGGCGCGGCTCGATCAAGGAGCACAGGCTGCTCGGAGCCTGGTACCGATCCAGTCCGGCGATTCCTGCCCGCCACAGCGTGGGCAATCGATCAGTCTGAGAGCCCTCCATCGCCCGGGATCCATCTGAATCAGGAGGTTCCCAGGAGGGTTCGTTATGCAATCACAGACATAAAATCATGTTACGGCAATTCTCCTCCATCCCCCACAGCCCTCACCCCTCCTCCTCCGTCTGCAGGAGGCTCGCAGGAGCAGATGAAAGCCTGGCTGTCGCCTGCCTGCAACCAAATCCCTCCCTGGGGCAGCCCCGGCTCCCCCCGCCCCGAGATCCGCCACATTCCCCCGGCTGCCGCGGCACCCAGCGAGCCTGGCCGGGCTGGGAGAGCAGGGCTGGGAGCAGCCAGAGCCCAGCAGCTCCTTCCCAGCGGCTTTGGAGCGGTGGCAGCAGCGCAAACACGACCCCGGAGCCCCCCGGGGGACGCGGCTGTGGCGCGGCGGTGACAGCCGGGAATGTCACCGCGGCGTCACCTCAGCCCCCGCCGAGCCACCTGCGCCGTGCCCGGCTGGTGCTGCTGCAGAAATTGCAAATCCTGCCGAGGAATGCCGTGCCCGTGCAGGGGGGGGATCCGGGAGATGCCCGGCTCTGTCCATCCCACACCCCGCCTCTGAGCCGGGTTTTTGTGGGGGCTGGCTGTTCTCTTATCTTCCACCCCGAATATTTCTTGTGGTTTTGGTGTAGAAACTCCTGGTGCTGCGTTTTTGAACTTCTGGGGCTGGCCTGCCACGAGCTGCTTCCATTTCTTCCCCAGCTCATCCCTTCCAGGTTTATTCCCCTCCGACAGCAGCGCTGCCCAGCCCCTCCAACAGCTCCCGGGGGCTTTTCCAGAGGCTTCTAAATTGCCTTTATCCCTTTAAAGGTGCAGGGAAAGGGCAAAGTGCGCGGCTGCCCAGAGGTGAAAGTCCAAAGGGATGCGATAAAGGCGGCCGGGAACTCCCGGGAATCACGGAATGCTCGGGGTGTGGTGGGGAAAGGAGAGAAAAATCGGAGATTCCTCCTCGGCCGAGCCGAGCTGGAGCAGCTGCGCCCCGTTCCATGGGAAAGGATGTGGGGAGAGGTGTGAACGAGGCACTTCCAGCCCAACGGAGCCGGGGATGGAGTTCCAGGCAAAAAAAATCGCTGGAATGTTCGGCGGGGGCTCCGCAGCGCCGAGACCCCACGGGCATCCCGAGAAATCCTGTCCAGAGCAGGGAAAGGCTTCCCCAAACTCTGGGCAGGAATCAAAGCCCTTCCCAGCTGCTGGGCCTGCCCAGGTCACAGGGAAAAGGAAAAACACCTGGAAAATCGAGGTTTTGGATGAGACTTTTCCCTTCCCAGCTCCTGGGCCTGTCCAGGTCACAGGGAAAAAGGAAAAACACGTGAAAAACACTGGAGGTTCTGGATGAGACTTTTTCCCTTCCCATCTCTTGGGCCTTCCCTGGTCACAAGGGGAAAAGGAAAAACACCTGGAAAATAGAGGTTCTGGATGAGACTTTCCCCCTTCCCAGCTGCTGGGCCTGCCCTGGTCACAAGGGGAAAAGGAAAAACACCTGGAAAAGCACTGCAGGTTCTGAATGAGGCTTTTCCCCTTCCCAGGTCACCAGGGAAAAGGAAAAACACCTGGAAAATCGAGGTTCTGGATGAGATTTTTCCTCTTCCCAGCTCCTGGGCTTGCCCAGGTCACAAGGAAAAACGAAAAACACCTGGAAAATCGAGATTCTGGATGAAACTTTTCCCCTTCCCAGCTCCTGGGCCTGCCCAGATCACAAGGAAAAACACGTGGAAAAGCACTGGAGGTTCTGGATGGGACTTTTCCCCTTCCCAGCTCCTCTCCTGGTGCCTTTGGATTCTGCTTCCCAGTTTTCCCAGTTGGGAAAGCTTCAAGGCTCCTTTCAGCCTGACCCACTCCATCCCTGATGCTGTGACTCTTTCTGGGATTATCCTCCTGCCTCCCATGGCATTTCCTCACCCTCTGCCTCCAGCAGCCCCATCTCCATCCCTTCCCTGCCCGGGAGGGGCTGGAAAAGGGGGCACAGCCATCCCACATTTCCCATATTTCCCACATTTCCCACATTTCATTTCCCCCATTTCCCACATTTCATTTCCCACATTTCATTTCCCACATTTCCCTAGGGAGGTGGAAGAGGGTCACAGAGGGATGGGGGCTCCGGGGCTGTGTCCCTGATATTCCCAAGGCTCCTAATGAGGGGGATGAGGGGGATGAAGGCATCCCCGAGCCCCAGGGCGATCCCGGAGCCCCCGGGAGGAGCAGGAGCAGGAGGAGGAGGAGGAGGAGCGGGAGCCCGGCTCAATGGACGCGGGCAGCTTTCCTCGGGCTGTTAAGCTGATTAATTGAAATGAAGTTCCTCCCGAGCCTCGGCGCGTTCTTTGAGGTCAGGGTCACCGCACTGAGACGCTTAATCAGATCTTCCCATTTAGCCCCTCTTAGCCTGGCAGGGCTGGAATGCGGCCCTTTCAAAGCCGGGCTCTTGGCGCCGAATTCCTGCTCTATCTCCCTCTCCCCTTCCCCGGGAGCGGCACATCCACCATCAGGAAATCCAACCCAACGCCGCCCACCCGGCTCAGGTGAGGTTTCCACTGCCGGAGCCGCTAGGAAAGGAAATAAAATATCAAATATAAAATATCAAATCAGCTCGCAGGTTGATGCCGGGGGTGTGGATTCTGGGGCTCTTCTCCATCTGCTTTATTTTTTTTTTTTTCCGTGGAAAAGCAGAATCGGGAGCAGCAGAGCTTCTCCCAGGCAAATATTTGTTAACAGCCTGCTTTCCAGAGGAGGGGAGGATTCCAAGGCCGAGCACAAAAATAGAGCGGAGCAGATGGGAAAGAGCCCCAGAAGCCGCGGGGGCTCAGCAAAGAGCAGCCCGAGTGGGTTTTGGCAGCGTTTGGGTGCTAAACCAGCCCCAAATCCCGAGCTCGGGAGCTCTGTGGGATTTCCCAGGTCCTCCGGGGCAGGGCAGGAATGCTGAGCTCAGGGGGTGAAGGCAAAACCTTCCCCAGAGCCCAAAATCAAGCAGCAGCAGCAGATCTGCACCGAGCTCCGGTTCTGGAAGCAGCCCCCGGGTTGTAGGTTGCTCGTTAAAGCTGTTTCCATGTCCAGAGACGCCAGGATAAATCCAGATAAATCCAGGCTGCTCACCCAGGTTTTCTCTGGGAAGACAAAACAGGATCAGCTGGGAGAGGGAGGCTCAGATTGTGACCTTCTGTTGGTGTAACTCGCTTTAAAACCTGTCCCCTCACACAGGAGGAGGCAAAAAAATGATCTCAAAACTCAGTTTTCCCTTTGGGAATCCTAAAGCAAAGCCCTGACCCAGAGGGATGTGCAGTGTGATCCCAGGGTTTTCCACGGGGCAATGGAATAAAGCCACAGGGACGCTGATTTCATCAGAATATTGGCATTTTCCACCCTTCCTGCTCCTGTTCCAGCTCCCCTCGCTGCTCCTGGTGCTCCCACATGTGGGATGTGGGCAGAACCAAGCTCCTGAGCTCTGTAGGATCCCCTTTTATCCTCCAGCATCCCAGGATTGGGGGGCAAAGAAAGGAGAACAAACCCAGGTGCTGAGCAAAGCTGCTGGTGGCACCCAGAGAAATCACGGATTTTTTTAGCACATATTGCTTTTTGAGCTCTCCCCGCTAAAATCCAGCTGGGAGTTGTTCTCCCATCGCTGCTGAGCATGGAAAGCTGTGTGTTTTTTGGGGAGCACGAGGCAGAGCTGCCCCCGGGTGCTTTATTTAACTCCAGACACGCTCAGCCCCCTCCACTGCCGGGTATTTTTAGTGGGCACCAAAGGGCAGCGACCTGGCCGGGAGGAGGGCGAGCTGGGCGGCCTTGGAGCAGCTCCACGGGGTGGGAAAGGGTGAAACGGCCCTGAGGGGAGGCTGCCTGGGCTGCTGTCACCGCCAAGGTGACCCGGGGACAGAGGCAGGGTGTTTACAAGGCTCGGAGTGCCCTGGCCCCGGGGGACAGAGGGGGAGCTGCAGGAGGGGGAAGCTGTCCGTGCCCTGGCAGGAGAAATTCTGCAAGGACAAGGTCAGTGCAGGAAGGAGAGGCACAGAGACATCCCACGGGAGCTTCTCCTTGCTTCCCTTTGCTTTGCTTCCTTCCTTCCCTTTGCTTTTCTTCCTTTTTCCCATTGCTTTTCTTCCTTTCCCTCATTACTTTTCTTCCTTCTTTACCAGTTTTTCTTCCCTCCTTCCTATTGCTTTTCTCTTTATTTCCCATTGCTTTTCTTCCTTATTTCTCATTGCTTTTCTTCCTTTTCCCCCATTGCTTTTCTTCATTCATTACCATTGCTTTTCCTTTCTTTCCCATTGCTTTTCTTCCTTCCTTCCCATTGCTTTTTTCCCTTATTTCCCATTGTTTTTTCCCCTTATTTCCCATTGCTTTTCTTCCTTTCCCCCGTTGCTTTTCTTCCTTCTTTCCCATTGCTTTTCTCCCTTTTCCCCCACTGTGTTTCCTCTTCATTCCCCATTGCTTTTCTCCCTTTTCCCCCATTGCTTTTCCTCTTTCTTTCCCATTGTTTTTCTTCCTTCTTTCCCTTTGCTTTTCTTGCTTTTCCCCCATTGTTTTTCTTCCTTTTCCCCCATTGCTTTTCCTCTTTCTTTCCCATTGCTTTTCTTCCTCCCCACCACCGCTAAAACCCCTGGCGAAGCTCTGCTCTCAGAACCCCGAAATCCTGGAATATCCAGAGCAGAATCATCGATTTCCCTCCCATTCTCAGCACCCTGTCTCAAAATTTCCCCCCGAGGAGCTGGGCCAGGGGTTGGAAATTCCCATTTTCCACGTGCTGCCCCTCCAGGACCCCTCAGCCCCAAAGCCACCCCCGTGCCCTGTCAGATCCCATCTCCCAGGCGGGCAGGGATGTGCAGGAAGGGCTGGGATGAAGCTGATAATAAATGGAAGCTGGAAGTCTCCCAGTGCTGACCTGTCAGGCCGGGCTGGGATGACACATTCCGAGATAACAACCCGGGCTGTCAGTCAGAGCAGAGCCCGGCGTGACAGCTCTGCCTGACAACAGCCCTGACTGACAGCTGCAGGGATTGCAGCCTCGGGAATCCGAGCAGGGCTCCTCTCCAGCCTTTGCAAGGGTTTGAAACGCCGGGAAAAGCCAGGAGAGGTTGTTGGGCAGAGCACTTTATGCTGGGAATTCCTGTTGGGAATTCAGGGCTGTGGGAGCTGTTGGGGCTCCCTGGTGGAAATCCCCAATTCTGGAGGTTCTGCTGTCACATCAGAGATCCTCCACCCTGCAAGGAGCTGCTCCCCATTTCCAGGTGTGGCTGCTCCCCAAAATCTGAGCCAGGAGAGGTTGTTGGGCAGAGCACCTCATGCTGGGAATTCCTGCTGGGAATTCAGAGCTGTGGGAGCTGTTGGGGCTCCCTGGTGGAAATCCCCAGTTCTGGAGGTTCTGGTGTCACATCAGAGATCCTCCCCCCTACAAATGGCTCCCCATTTCCAGGTGTGGCTGCTCCCCAAAATCTGAGCAGCCAGCTCTGTCCCCTCGGCTGTGTCGTGCCCCTGGGTCCCCTTTGTCCCCTCTCCTTTGTCCCCAGCTCTGCCGGGGCAGCTCCGTGGCCAGGGGGGAAATTTGGGGAGCACAAATTCCCTGGAGCAGCCGCTGCTGCTGCTCCAGGGCTGGAGCTCAGAAACTGCACCTGGAACCCTGGGGTAGAGCAGGGAGCGCAGGGAACCACGGAATCCCCAAAGCTGGAAAAGCAATTCCCCACATCCCTGCATCACCCCAGCACGGCCGGGCCGAGCAGAGCACTCCGCATTGTCCCCAGATGTCACAGCCACGTGCTCTTGGAGCGCTCCCAGGGGTGGGGATTCCAGCACTGCCCTGGGCAATCCCATCCAATGCTTGCTCATCCTTCCACTGGGGTTTTTCTTTTCCCTGATCTCCAACCTAAAGCTCCTCTGGTGCAACTTGAGGATTTTCCTTTTTTTATTTTTTTATATTTTAAAATTTTTTTCTTAGGATTTTTCCTTTATTTCTTAGGATTTTTCCTTTTTTCCTTTTTTTTCCTTTTTTTTTTTAGGATTTTTTCCTATTTTCTATTTTTTTAAGGAGTTTTCTTTTTTCTTTTTCTTTTTTTTAGGCAGACAGGGGAAAGGGGGTTCGGGATGGGTTTGGGGCTCTGGGGGAGAGGAGAGACAGGGGAAAGGGGGTTCGGGATGGGTTTGGGGCTCTGGGGGAGAGGAATCAGAGGGGAGAGGGGGAAGGGGCTGGGTGCTCGGGAGAGGCGCCCCCGGCCCCTCTGTGGCTGCTGAATCCATTTATTGAACCAGGGAGAGCTTCCCAAGGGACGAGGGTGGGGCTGAGCCCCCAAACCTCCTCCTGCAGGGATTGGGATGGCTGGATGCCCTCCAAATCCACACATTTCTGTCTCAGGAAATTAGGGAACATTTCCCAAGGGATGAGGCAGATCCTGGCTAGTGCTGAGCCCCTCACCCTTCAAGGATTTGGGAATGGCTGGGTGCCCTCCAAATCCACACATTCCCCTGTCAGGAAATCAGGGAATGCTTCCCAAGGGATGAGGCAGACTCTACGTGGGGCTGAGCCCCCAAACCTCCTCCTGCAGGATTTGGGAATGGCTGGGTGCCCTCCAAATCCACCAGTTTCCATGTCAGGAAATTAGGGAACACTTCCCAAGGGATGAGGCAGATCCTGAGCCCCTGGATCCCCTCCTGCAGTGCCCAAGGCCAGGCTGGAGCAACCTGAGACAGGGAAAGGTGGAATGGGATGAGCTTTAAGGTATTTGCAACCCAAACCCTGCAGGGATTTGGGCTCTGTTCTACCCCAAAATGCGACCAGAGGAGGGGACAGTCCCGGCCACCAGACCAGGCAGAGACTGAGGGACACAGGGAGCAGAAAAGGGAATGAGAAAGTCAGGAAGAGCACCCAAGATTCCCAAATTCCCTTTTAGGGACCTCCCCTGAAATAAAGGAGACAGAAACCAGCGGCTCCCCTTTCCCACAGCAGCACGAGCAGGGGCTCCCAGAGCTCCCAGCGCTCCCAGAGCTCCCAGCGCTCCCAGTGCTCTCCTAGTGCTCCCAGTGCCCCCAGCGCTCCCAGTGCTCCCAGTGCCCCCAGCGCTCCCAGCGCTCCCAGTCCATCCCAGTCCATCCCAGTGCTCCCAGCCACGCGCGGCTCGTGCGGCGATGCCCCGATAAACCCAGGGCTCCGCTCCCACCCCCATCCTGGCTCCCTCCCTCCCTCTCTCCCGAGCGCATCCCGGGAACGCCAGCATTGCTCCGGGGGAGCTGCGAGCCCGCACCCCGCTCCCAGAGCCCGGGGCAGCCCTTTGAACCTTTCAACAGCTCCTTTTTATTTATTTTTTTATTTAAATTTTTTTTTTTGGCTTTTCCTTGCAGCCTCTTAAATCAAACCTAACCCGGGCTGCCGAGGGAAATCCGGAGCTGCTCGGGGCAAGAGTTAAAACGTGTTAAGCACCGAGATCCAGGCCAGATGTGGAACTCTCCGGGGCCACCACGGGGCTTTGAGCCGCTGGTTTGACACCTCTGCTTTCGACATTAAAAGTCCCAGCGGGGAGGAAATCCTGCTGGCCTGAGTTATGAGCTATTTACCGAGGGGGGCAGCCCTTGAAAGGAGTCCCAATAAAACCTGGAATAAGAGTAAATAATTAGCATAGGCTGGGAAAAGAGGTTTATTTTTTAAGGCAGCTGGGTTTATGGAATTTTTTTATTTTTATTTTTTTTTTCTGCAGCGCTGGCTGAAGATAAAAATCCTCCTGGCTCTGAGGGATAAAGGGAATGCTGGAAGTGTGTGAGAGCTCCAGGTCCCGTTTGGAAAAGCACTCACAGGCAATAAACCCCTGCTCAGCTGCTGGCGTGGGATAGCAGAGGCTTCTCCCCGCCCCGACTCAGATGTGGGGAGGGAAATTCAGGAATTAGTGGCTGGATGCTGCAAGTGCCCATCAGGAATCTCCCCCTCTCTCTGCTCCTCTCTGTTCCCAGGTTTTCCTGTGGTTCAGGGAAGTGCTGGGATCCCTGGAAATGCCAAAAAATGTGTGGATGCAGCTTCAGGGTGAGCACGGTTAAAGGCTTGGCTCTCTGGTTTTTGGGTTTTTTCCCAGTCCTATCCCAGTGCTGTGGGACAGATCCCAGCACCCAGCTCCTGTCCCATTAGCTGTGGGTTCTGTGAGATTTGGGATCTGTGGGATTTGGGATCTGTGGGTTCTGTGGGATCTGTGGGTTCTGTGGGATTTGGGATCTGTGGGATCTGGGATCTGTGGGATATCTGGGATCCGTGGGAAGGGGATTAAGGACCTGCTCCTGCCTTTCCCAGCTCACTTTCACCACAATGGATCTCATTCTTTCTGAGAATTCTCCTAAAAAATAAAGGAACGACCCTCAAGTTGCAGGAAAAGGATCTCCCTAAGCTCTGAGGGCTCAGGAATTTTTCCAGGGCTCTTCACCCTCACCTGGCTCAGAGGCCACCAGGCAAGGACAGAGGGTGGTGACAGGGCTGGATTTTGAGGCAGAACTCCCAAAATAGGCGAGCAAAGCTCCTAAGAGCCTCTCCCTGAGGCGGGGATCACAAACCCCAGGGGCTGGTGTGGCTCATGGCCCCTCTCCCGATGATTCCAGCCCAGCCTGAGCCTCCCCAGGTGCTGGATCCGTGTCTGCACGCTTCTCCCGTGCCCTGACACGACTGCGAGTGCCAGGGCTGCTCCTGCCCATCACTGCCTGCCCTTGACTTGTCTTGCAGACACGTTGCCTTTTTCTTTTTTTCCCTCCCAGGGTTTGATTTCCTCGCTTGTTTGTTTGTTTTCCTCCCTGCTCGGTGTCAGAGCAGCTCCAGGGCTCGTTCTGAGGCTGACAGGACTTAAGGACGGGGTTTTTCTGCTGTAGAGAAATCCTCTTGTCACCAGAAAGGACACAGCCAGTGCTGGCTGGGGCTCCAAAGGTGCCACAGGCTTGCAGGGGAGAGGAGAGGCAGCTCCTCCATCCCTCTCCTCCCTGGAGATCCCTCCTGAGGCTGCTGGGAAGGGCTCCAGGGAGCAGAGAACTCCTACAAACACCCGGGGGGCAGATGGCCTGGGGGTTCTGCTCACAAAGAAGTACAAATAAAGGTGTCCCAGGTGTCCCAGGCTGCCCCAGGATTCTCAGTGATGTCCCAGTGGTGTCCCAGTGCTGTTCCAGGATTCTCCCAGTGATGTCCCAGGGTTGTCCCAGGATTCTCTCGGGTGTCCCAGGGCTGTCCCAGAACTGTCCTAGGATTGTCCCAGCACTGTCCCAGCACTGTCCCGGGCTGTCCCAGGATTATCCCAGCGCTGTCCCAGGATTATCCCAGCACTGTCCCAGGACTGTCCCAGGATTCTCCCAGCACTGTCCCATGGCTGTCCCAGCACTGTCCCGGGCTGTCCCAGGATTATCCCAGCGCTGTCCCAGGATTATCCCAGCACTGTCCCAGGACTGTCCCAGGATTCTCCCAGCACTGTCCCAGCACTGTCCCGGGCTGTCCCGGGCTGTCCCGGGGCTGTCTCCCTCCTGAGTCACCCCGGCCCCGGGCACACTCCCTGCCGTGCCGTGCCGTGCCGTGCCGTGCCCGAGGTTCCCATGGCCAGCAGCCTCCCTGTGCCCCTCCTGCCCGAGCCCGGACCTGCCGGGCTGGCCCAGCCGGTCTCTCCCAGGTGTGGCCGCGTTATTTGCTCGCTGATTACCGGAATAAAACCATCATTAACTGCGGCTGCCGCCCCGGCGGGCGTGTGCCGCCCGTCTGCAGGCAGCCCCTGCTGCCACCCCGGCCCTGCCACCCCCGGGGCTGCATCCCTGCTCACAGGGCACCTCCCAGCCCACATTTCCCAGGTTTGTGCCTTATCCATTCCCGGGAGTGGGAAGGGAAAGAAAAAGAGGAAGGATGAGGCTTGGAGAGTGCCCAGAACTCAGCACTGGCTCCATCTCTTTGTAAAAAAAGGGGGGAAATTACATGTCAAATTACATGTTCAATTACATGTTAAATTGCATGTTAAATTACATGTTAAATTACAATTGAAATTACATTTGAAATTGCATTTGAAATGACATTTTAAGCTGATGTACTCCTTACAAACACAGGCAGAGCCCCCGGAGCACAGCTGGGTTTCTCAGGGCAGGGATTGTCCTGCACAAATGTCCCATCCCAGAGCTCAGGGCTGACCCCAAACCCTCCAGCAGTGGCACATTGTGGCGCTGGCACGTGCGTGCCAGCCCTGGGGGAGTTCTGCATCCTGGGAAATCCCTGGAAGCAGCTTTGGGCTGAAGGAGCTCCTTGTGTGGCTGGGGCAGCAATGTCCCCAGGGCTGGCACTGTCCCTGCTCCTGCAGCTGGGACAGCAGGGACCCCAGAGCTGTCCCCAAAATTCCCTGTCCTCAAGGCTGGCCCAGCCCTGGGCTCACACCTGGGACCCTGCAGAGGTGACAGAGGTGACAGAGGTGACAATTCCCTCACACACTGCCAGACCCCGGGGTTATTTAGCAGGAGCCCTTCCCTCCACCTTTGCAGATTTAATGCATCCCAGGGAAAGAAAAGCACAGAACTCCCAGAAATTAATTTGCAGCCACTCTGCAGAATTTATTTTTTAAAAATCAGATTTCTCCCATTTTCAGCAGCGACTCCTTCTCACTTTTTTTCCCCGTGACACCAAAGCACCCACTGTGACATTCCCAGGCTGCAGAGCTCTGCTGCCAGCTCCTGTCAGCCCCAGGCGTGGGCCAGCATTGACTCTGCTTCCCCAAAACCACTGAAATTCCCCAGCAGGACAGGCTGGGAACGTCCTGGAGCAGCCCAGCCCTGCAGAGACATTTCCAGCAGGCTGAAAATGTGTGAGAGCAAGGAGGATTTCTGGAGGAAAGGGGGGAAATTTGGGTCAGTGGTGCTGGTTGCTGGGAGCAGGGCAGGAAGTGGCTGTGTTTACAGGGCTGGAGTTGTTTTTTCCTGTGGCACACACACGGAACGCTCTCAGAGCCTGGAAACGTTTTTATGGGAGACAGCAATTATCCTGCAGGGTGAATTAAAAGATATATTTGTGTGGGAAATGAATTTGTAGAATAAAAAACAGCTGGCTTCTGATTGTAGCAGCGTTAATTATAACATCTGTATTGAAACACGAGACTGAAAACAGAATTAAAGTTTTTAAAACACCTCTCATTACCCCATCTCCAAGTCCAAAAAAATCTTAATCTGACAATTTGGAGCAGAAAGCTTTTGGATATGGGGAGAGCAGCAGGCAGCAGCTTTGGGAAAGGATTTCCCAAAGGGTCAGGTGGCGTGGGAGGCTGGAGCAGCCATCTGGGGAGGGAAGGAGGGCAGCAGAGAGGAAAAGGCCCTTTATGACCAGCCCAAATGTTAAAGGCTGCGAGAAACGCGGGAATGATCCCATTAAGGACCAAATGGATGCCATAAACCGGGGTTTTCTCCTTTCTTTGGGGTTGTTTCTATTGCTTTCATCCCAATCAAAAACATTCTCAGCCTTCTGCCTTGGCTTTTAGGGACGGAGTTCCTTAGGGTGGCACTTTCCTCGTGGTGCAAATTCCCACATTTCAAGGGGAAAACTCCCCTCTCCCAGCAGTCCCAAGGAAAAGCTGAGCGTAGTTTCCTCCCCCCACAATCCCTGGTGCTGAGGAGCAGGAGGGATCTTGGGATAACCAGCCATGAACGGGAGGCCAGGGCTCCTTCCCAAACTTCGCGGAACGCCGGGATGTGAGGCGGGATTGGCGTCACTTCCTCCCCGCCAGCCTCACCTCAGCACCTTCCTTTTCTCCTCCCTGCTGATGAAACCATCCTGCTCGGGCCTGGCGATGTCCTGCATCGCCCAGATCCTGTTTAGAAAACCAAACCCGCCGGAATTCCGGGCTGGGATGGGAAAATCCGGGACGCCACGGGCTCCTCTTGCAGCTGGAAGCCTCCGGCCAGGCTTTCACCTCCCCTTTTGCTTGGTGTTGTTTCTTCTCCTGCTCTCTCACCAGCTCAAGAAGAGCAATTTTCCTTTCAAATGCAAGGCCTGGCCATAAACTTGGCAGGAAAATCCCTCCCAAGCAAATGGCAAGGGAAGGAGAGGGAATTTTGCTGTCCTGGGGGGTTTTCCTGCCCTCCATGGATCCAGGTTAAGACTCGTTCAAAAACCAATTTAAAAAAACCCCAAGCCAAGTCAAAACAGGCTGATAAATACCCCAAATAAAGAATTCCAGTGGGTGCAATATCCCAAATAAAGAATTTCAGAATTCCAGGCTGGTTTGTCCCGGAAGAAGCCGGGAGATTTCAAACTCAGGCGTTAAATCTCCAGCTGAGAACAACTCTGGGGTGTATTAATGAAAATATTAATGAAAATATTATTGAAAATAAAGCCCTTTTTCCCACACCAAGGGGATTTCACTGGTTTAATTGCCATCATTTTGAAGACCCTGCTGCAAAGGTGTTTGCTTGCACCTCAGGCACCTGCAGGAGTCAGGGCAGAGAAAATGATGGAATTTCCGTATCCCAAGGAAATGCTGGAAGAGATCTCCTGGAGAGCAGCCTCTGGCATGGGTCTGTCACATTCCTGGCTGCAGGAATTCCCTCTCAGTGTGCCACAAGGCAAGAGGAAACCCTGGAACTTTTTGTCTTCCCAGTCCTGGCTGCAGGAATTCCCTCTCTGAGCCCTGCAACACTTTGAAACAAGAGAGATCCTGGAATTTTTGCTCTCCCAGCCCTCATTACAAAAATTCCCTCTCCAAGTTCTGTGACACTCCCAAGACAAGAAGGACTCTTGGATTTGAGGTTTTCCCAGTCCTGGCTGCAGGAATTTCCTCTCCAAGAGCCACAAGACAAGAGGGACCCTGGATTTTGAGACAAGAGGGACCGTGGAATTTTTGCTCTCCCAGTCCTGGCTGCAGCAATTCCCTGTCCAAGTGCCACAACATCTTGGGGCAGGAGGAAACCCTGGAATTGGTGCCTGCAGCCACCAAACTGCCAGGAAATAAGGGGCTAACGGGCCCTGGTGGTGCAGCTGGACACAAAGTCACACCCCGAGATGAAAGGGGGAATGCAGCCGATCCCAGGCCCTTCACACCAGCCCCAGGGGTGGGGAGGGCAGCGAGGAGGAGCCGAGCTTTGATAGCACCCCCAGCATCCTCACTCAGCCACCTTTGGGAGAAATTCTCCTCTCCAGGCACAAAATCTGCATTTTTGTGAGCATTACAATGTTTGGTACCTCAATTATTGAGGGGATTTTTCATTTTCCCTGCTGAAGGAAGGTTTTTTTTTTTGGGGGGGGGAAAGTCCTGATTTTAAAAGATTATTTTCTTGCCCAGTTTGGCCAGTTTGTTTTTCCCGCACAGCACTGGTGTGGCAGCTTCTTTCTGGTGACTTTTATGAGTCTGCCTTTCAGATTCCTTCACCAGAGATCCAAGCCCAGGGCTCTCCCTCAGACTTGGAGGAAGAACAGCCCAGGATTAGGTGTCCACATGCAAATCCTGCTGGTTTGTGGGGTCACTGAGCAGAGCTGGCAGGTGGGGCCTTTACCAGAAATCAGCTTTTGCAGTCACGAGGTTCCTGCTGTGGTCAGGGAGGGACAGCAATGCAAACCCAGCTGCTCTGACACCTGAGTCACCTGGAAAAAATGGGATTTGGGGGTGGGGTGAGTATCCTGCAGTCCCTTGTCCTTGTGGGACGTGTTCAGGGCTGGCTGCGGTACCAGGGGGGATCCAGGTGGGATCCGGGTGGGATCCAGGGGCACCCTCAGCCTGATCCCCCTTCAAAAGCTGGGAATGTTCACCTGGAGAAGAAAAGGAGAGCTCAGAGCCCCTTCCAGTGCCCAAAGGGGCTTCAGGACAGCTGGAGAGGGACTGGGAACAAGGAATAGAGTGACAGGAAAAGGGGGAACGGATCCCACTGCCAGAGGGCAGGGATGGATGGGATATTGGGAATAAATTCCTCCCATGAGGGTGATGAGGGGCCAGGGTGGAATTCCCAGAGAAGCCCAGGCTGCCCCATCCCTGGAAGTGTCCAAGGCGGGGTTGGAGCACCCTGGGATGGTGGAAGGTGTCCCTGCCCATGGCACTGGTTGGGATTTCAGGTCCCTTTGACCCCAAACCACGCTGGGATCCCAACACCAGGAGCTTTCCCCGCTCCGACCCGCGCCCATTCAGCTTCCAGTCAAGTGGAAAGCAAACATCTCTGGGACATGGAGAGCCTTTTCTTCCTGCCTTTATCTCCTTCCTCCCCTCTCTCATTCTCCCTTTAGTGCTGAGATTTCAGCGGCAGCAAAGCCCCCAAACAAGCGGGGGGAGAGGCCTAGGCCCGCTGACTCGGCCTAGGCATGAATAGGCCCGGCCTAACCGGGCCGGGGACCAAAAAGGGGCTGAGGGCTGCTCATTGTGGGGCTGCTCGGGGTCAGCACGGACCATATGTCACCATTCCAGTGCCAGGGTCTCCATGGAGCCCCCTCGGCCCGGCCCTTTGTCGCCGTGTCCCCCCAGATATATTCATGGCCTGGCCGGGCCGTGCCGGGGGACAGAAACAAATTGCTACAAGGCAGGCCCACCCCGTCGGGCTGCCAGCAGCAGACAATCATAAAAGGCCAGTGCAGACTGTTTAAAAGCTGGAGAAAGGGCCGGTTGCCATGGCGATGGGATGGGAGGCCTGTTGCGGCCCATTAAACTCCAATCACATGTAAATTTATCCCCAGGCCTCCAGCGAGGGGGGACCCCCAGAGCTGCAGAATAGCCCCCGACAATAAGCAGTTTGTTTATCAATTCAGGTGCCGTTTAATTGGCTCCATTCAAGCCCCTCTTTGTTTAAAGTAATAACCTTTACAAAGCCCCACTGATTTATCATTTCCAGCACTCCATTAGATGGGCTTCTTGAAATCCTTGCAACCACCTCATCTCCTGGGAGAATAAATCAAGAGGGGATGCTCCGAGGTGGTACCCGCGGGTGGAGGGCTCTGGAATCCCTGAGCAGTTTCCTGGGATCCCTTCCACGGCTGTGTCTGGAGCAGCTGGAATGACCTTGCTGTAAACTTTGGCTCCTCTGCAGCCTGGAGGAGTGTGAAGGTCACCCTGGAGGTTTGCAAAGAGAAGGAGAAAAAAATATCCCCGAGCTGACGGGCAGCAAGGGAAAACTGATTTTTAGTGAGGATCTTCATGGAGGAGGAGGGTTTGCTCCTTTGGGTGGTTTTTAGGGGATGTTTTAGGGTGAAGGAAATGGTAGTGATGCCACAACCAGAGGCAAAGAAGTTGTGGATTCCCCATCCCTGGAATTGTCCAAGCCAAGGTTGGATGGAGCAGCCTGGGACAGTGGGACCCATAGGACGGGTGGCACTGGATGATCTTCAAGTCCCTTTCCAATCCAATCCATCCCACGAAGGGCTCAGTGGGTTCTTTTTCACTGGTCCTAAACACCAAGAAATGCAGAGTTAGTGACAGCCAGGGACTGATGGACATCCAGGGATTGATGGATATCCGGGGATGGATGGATATCTGGGGATTGATGCATGTCCAACAGCACAGCCAAGAGCCAAGAGTGGCAGATGAGCCCCTGGGGGAAATCTGTGCATCCTGCACCTCCCATTCCACAGATCCCACTGGAATTCCCTTTATTCCTCGTGTGCAGAACGGGGCTGGTTGGAGCTGGAGCCTCTCCCAGTCCGGAGTCCCTGGACTGCTCAGTAACTTCAGCTTTCCCCTCAGAAATTGCTGGGGAAATGCAAAAATGGAATCTCCAAGGGGGAAGGAATGAGGAAAGCAAGAGGGACATCTGGGTTTGGTGTCAGCTGGGTTGGGCTGGCTCTTGAATCCATCAGCACCTGATTGAGGGGCTTGAACACAGAATCACAGAGTCATTAAGTCTGGGAGAAAGTCCCAAACTTTTTGGAAAAGTTTGGCAAAAACTCCAAAATCATGAAATCCAACCTTGGAGCCAACACCCCCAGCATTCCCCTGAACCATTTCTCCCAGTGCCACCAAAATCCTCAATTTTTGAGCTCTTCCAGGGAGACTCCAGCACTTCCCTGGGGTGGGGTAATTATATCTGCCTAATTAACAAAGCTCCCCGTGGATTTTTAGCTGCAGAGGGGGGACAGTGAGAAAAGCAGCCTGAGGGGGGGCTGGGATCCCAGAGGATTCCTTTGGAGTGGGATCGGCCAGGGAAGCAGCACGGGAGGTCAGGGGTTAAACGGCAG